TAGAAGTTGCATTTTTGGCCTTTCAACATATGGCGTAGCATATTATATATCACCCCTCCATAATCTCGACAGCGACATGCCTGTATGAGCAGCCTCATTTTCACCACTAATACAAAGAAAAGACTATACTCTCTTCTGAAATATTTGTGTGTAACTAAGAGAAGGGTAAAGTTGGACAAACTTTACTTTCTAAAACAGAAAGGACTCTGCTTTATCAAAGTAATTAAGAGATGCCAAATTAAAACTAATGTCTTAAACCATAGTAAAAACTAAGTAGTGGTGAATCACGATTAAAAGGAATCCGCTGTCTATTATTGCACTGTGCCATGCTGTCTGTTGTTCCTGTCTCACTATTTCCCTGCTGCTAAAGATTGCATTAAATAGCAATATGCACTGTCCATCCCCAATCTCTTTAAATACTCCTGTTCAGCACTTGATGAAAAGCTTACAAATACCACTCAATTCATTGTCAGTTCTTTTTAATACCATGAAACCAAGAAGCTTTTGAAAGGCTATTATTATGATAAGACATTATACATGTAGCCAGGCTTGAATTTGGACCAAGACTGGCAATGCAATACAGTAGTTTCCTATGTTAAAATAAACTGTAAATATAGATAGTATAGTGAGGAAAGAAGTAAACAGAAAAAAATTATCAAAGAACGTACAATCAAATATTTCCTAACAATAGTCTATTAAAATGGGAGCAGATACTGTAACATGAAAACTAATTTTGCATTTATTACACAAGTAGTTAATCCTAATAGGGTTACTTTTATTTTTTAAGTACCAGGGCCTAGAGGTCAGGACTTCCTTTGTCTTCAAATTTTAAGCAGAGATTAAAGGGATCCATGAACCAGTAGTTGGGAGACTCTGTTAACAAGGAAATAATGTTTTTCGCTGTAAGTCTCATCTACAGGTTGTGACTGTTTTTTCCAATTCATATTTAGTGAAGAAAGAATTGGACTGACACTATGCTAAGAACCTTTCCAATCACCTACATATAATTGGGATGTGTAATTAAGTGACGTGCTTAATATGCAAACCCAACACATTCAGAAATGCTCCAGCTGAACTACATTGTAAAAAGACGGTATGCTTATTAAATAAAAATTTTGTTTATTTTCGTAACTCTCATAGTAACTCTCTAGATTCATTTGAAGGGAGGCATGATCTTTACGTTGTCTCTTAATAACTTTTTGACCCTTTCGATGAGGTACACTTAGAAGTTTAATGTAAACACATTTATAATTTATTTCTTAAATCTAAAGTCATCACTTACCTATTTTAGGATAATATCTAAATGCTTTTGACTTTTACCATTTTGTCTCATTTCAAGTTTTAGAATTTTTGCTCTCTCATTTCAGAATACATAACCCTATCTTTATGTCCATTTACCCAGTACCTCTTGGTGTGCAGAGCAACACAGCAGGTTTGTGCTTAATTCTTCTAATGAGAAAATAAATAAGGATCAATGAAACCCTTATTTGGTGCATCACTATGGGGAATTTTAGATCTGTCGGTATAGTAATTACCAAGAGGGAAAAAAGAGAACTCTCCCAACCAAAGTTGACTGTATGTCCTTCCTTCACTCTTGAAGATTTTAATTGATAGACCCAGTTTTCACTAGGACACCCATTTAAAACCAGCTATTCCTTCTGATTTGGTTTGGTAGCTGCATAATGTATCATGTTTTCTCAGACCCAACCAGACTTTTGTTTGCCTTCTCACCAGAAAGTATCTGAGGTAAGTTCTCCCTCCCCTCCTGGATCATACATCTAAACTGTGGTCCCTCATTAGAATATTTGCATGAATAAAATCATATATATAGTGGAAAAAAAATTTCCTTAAGCTTAATACCAAATTGCTAAGGTGTATATATTTTAGAAAGTTATCCATAGACTTTCAAATCCAATGCTGGTTTTGCCTGTTTAAATATTGATACAGTAGCATTATCTCCAAAATTTTTTTTATATACTGAGTTAATCTCTATTCATCTTTGTCAGTGAATTCTTAGAGTAGCTTTTAGTAGCAAAGAAATGCAATGAGACAGTAACAAAATAATAAATGAGGAATAAAGGAAATGTGTCATTTAAAATGAATCACTTAAAAGTAGAGAAGTTCTGCATTTTGAGAATTATTAAATTCTAAACAAGGCGAGTAGAGCAATCTACATATAACTGACATTTGTCATGGGAAAAACTAATTTTCTATTTATTAAAATAATTTAAATTTTTAGTAGCCTCAAATGTTTCATCTTGGGAGAGCTTGTGTATATGGATTTAGAGACCAGAGTATTGGCTTATTTGTAATGTTAGAAATCCCTCAGAAGTGCACCTGTGCTTTCCTACATGTATAATTAATTTCACTTCGTGTTTTTGTACAAATCTTATGGAAGTAGAGTGTTCAATTAGTTGTGTATTAGTTGGCTTATCTTTCTACATACCTTTATGTCTGTATATTGTCGGTTTTAGATGGCAGTTTCCTAGAGGGTAGGCTAGAATCTGCTTAAAATTTACAGAACATCACATACATGTGATACATATGATTTTTAGGATGGCAATGATGTGATGGTTGTTTTTATGTCATAAACTTTTAATTGTAAGGGAAATACGTGCAAACCATTTTAAGAGTAAAAAATAATTTATCTAGCCATAGTGAAAGGACTAATGAACTCTCAAGAATGCAAAGGTAGAAAACTTGCTTAAAGTTGCTTATACACCACATCAGTCACAATGGCAACAAGCTATAGAGTAATATAATTTGTATAAGCTGAAATCTGACTGTAAACTTGCAGTGTATTTTGACATGCCTCCATTCATAAAACTTTTCTTATAAAGTGCATTTGTTATCAGTTACACATAAAGTACTTTTACTTGTGCATATAATTAAGTGAAAACACTCCATATGCTAAAAAGTGATAAGGGACTGTTAGGTGAAAGAAGTGTGGCAAGTTTCTCATCACATAATAGATTTTATAGAAGATATTAATCTATATGTATATATCTATATGTATGTATATAGCTACCTACATGTATATAGTATCTGTCTATCTACCTTCCTATCTATTTATCTGGATTGTCAGCCTTTTTAAAGTTTAACATGTCTGTCTTTCTGTCCCTTCATTTCTGTTTCATTACTTGTTATTTGGAGACAGGCTGAGGTAAAAGATTATTGGAAGAAAAGGCATTTTTCTAGATGGATCACTTTTTCCCTAAACTGCTTGTTCTAACCATTCTATTTGTTTATCAAAGAACAAACAAGTAAACTAATCATTAAATTTGTAAACAACTAAACACTTGAACAACCCATTGGATCAATTAATTTTACAGCATACATTTCAGAATGCCTTTTATTATGATAAAATCAAATACAGTAATCTATAGGTATGTCAATATGTTCTTAAAAAAATCCAGATATATTTTTGAAAATCACTTTTGAATTCCCTTCTGTTACAATGTGATTCTTTTCCTTCATGTCCCATAATTAGATCTAATTAATCCATATTTTGAGATATCACCATGGTATAGAAAAGACATAGCTTTTTCTTAGTATTAAATATGAAGTTGTTTTTTTTTTTTTTGAGAGAAAGGAATTAATCCACCCTGAATTTCTTTTGTTTTTTTCCTTCTAACTTCTTTCTCATTAATTTCTCCTTTCTTTATAGCGTAAAGTGCCAGACGCGAAAAGTTGGAACTGTGTTAAAAATGACTATTAAAATAAATTGTGAACCATGTCGATTAATCTTTTTTTGTTTTCAACGACACATGTTGTTCCAAGAATTTGTTCTAAAGCAGTATTTATATAAATACTTGCTTTTATTTAGAGTAAAGTGAATTGCTTTTTGTAGGAAAAAAAGTGATTGCTTTTTCAAAAGTTGCAGACTTGGCGAGGTGACAAGTTGTTTGATTATGGCTGGTTAGTACAAGCAGTGCCTTCAAACAGTGCCACCACCGCCAACTGAGCACAGACCTCAGGCTTTCATGCAAGGTTTTCCTGATCACCTCTCTTGCCATCCTTTTCCTCTCTCTCCACATCCTTTCTCTCTTTCTCTAGGACTTTCTCTCTAGCTTTTCCTTGCTCTGTATTTTCTTTGCTTCCTCTTTCTCCTGTTTCTTTCTCTCCCTCCTTATTTCCTTTTCTTTTTGACTCTTTAATTCTCAGACCCTTGAAGAGAAAGGAAATGGTAGAAAGTAAATTTTAAGTAAAATACTTTTTTTTTTCAGTTTAATGAATAACCTTTGAGTAATCTTTAGATTTCCAGACTTCCTGGTATAAGTTTACTTAGCTTGAAATAAGAAAATGTTTAAAGAAAAAGCTAGAATACTAGGTTTATGATTCCTTCTTTGAGAAGACCTATCTGTGTAGATACTTTCTGGAGATATATAACTATGTATTTATATGTATACCTCCTATATGAGTTACTACATGTTCTCATGTAGTAATGTGTATTACTATTTGTATTTTTCTAGTACTATATATATTTTATATATCTATATAAAATTTTGAAGATGGTGATTATGTTTTGTAAGTACATTTTACATACATTCTTTTTTACTAACTTTGGTAAAAGATATTTATATTCATATTATTTCCAATTGTTTAATCTTTATTATTTATTTTAATCATACTTTTAAACCATTTCAAAAGCTTTTTATAGAACGGTGACACTGATGAGATTATCAATTATGAAGTATTGAGAACACTGACATGTAATTGTTTATTTTTAACCATGCTAGTAAAAGCTCAAACATCTTAGCATAGTACATAAGAGGTGCAGAACATAAAGGTGGAATCTGATGAAATCTGGTGCCTCTGGAACAAGCTAGTGTCTAAATACTGTGGTCCTTTAATATTATTGTTAAATAGTTAAATAATAAATATTATTTAAAAATTATCTGTCATCATTGCTAAAGAATGTATTAGAGATGACATATAGCTGTGAGGTTGTTAGCAGACATTTGGTTATGACCACCCTTTCTCTCTCTCTCTCTGTCAAGGTGCCTGTGTCGGTGGCCATGATGACTCCCCAGGTGATCACCCCTCAGCAAATGCAGCAGATCCTTCAGCAGCAAGTCCTGTCTCCTCAGCAGCTCCAAGCCCTTCTCCAGCAGCAGCAGGCAGTCATGCTGCAGCAGGTAATGTGGGTTACCTGCTTTGGTGTTCTAGCTTGGCACAGAAAGTTTGCACCCATGTTGACAGTGCCATGGGCATATTTGATAAACACTGTCCATTGGAAAGGACAACCTCTCAGCATGCTAGAACGTAAATGTAGTGTTTTAATTGTAGAACTGCATAAGAAAATTTAGATCCCTTGGTCTTTTAAATTCATTGAAATGCGGACTAAGAGCAGAGAGAAGTGTAATTTCACTATGAAATAAATCAATACTTAAATATTCAAATACTTAGGTACATTTGCTTTGTAGACTTGCCAGCAAAAGTGCAAAAAGACTTAGAGATAATTGTTGCTTTTAAAACTCTTAACACTTAGCACTCCTTTTAGTACACATAAGTATGAAATTTGAACTGGCCATTTTGTTACAGTAGGGAAAGTAACAGCCCAAATTTTCTTTTCCAAAATATATGCAGTGTTTAGGAAAAGAAGCATCTACTTATTAGAACAAAGTTAAGCAACTAAGCCACCAATTCATGAGATTTATCTTTTTAAAAAGTAACACAACTAATGTTCCTCATATAGTTTTCCTCCAGTACATTACTGGAGCCTCAAGTGTGTATAAAGTGGACTTCATGCTATAGACCTACTTATCATAGAGAAAATAATGTGCTTTCCCTGAATTCCTATATATTTAATTACTTTGCTGTCTTCTATGATGATGACTGCAGGCCAGTTGCTTCTCTTTCTGACATTCTTCTGTACATCTTATTGATTAAAATTTTTTTCCCAGTAAGAACTGGACAACCTGATTTTATGTAGCTATACGTTTGGTTCTTATAAATGGTAGAGTATAACCTATTTTTATTTGCTGTGGGGACTTCAGATGTAATAATTTAGGGTATTCATTTGGCTCTAGCCCTTTAGAATACAGATTTTCGATACCCTTTTGTTTAGGATTTTTTGGATTCTGGATTGGAAAAATTCAGAGCTGCCTTGGAAAACAATGTGCGTAGATCTGTCTCCTTGAATCCCATGAATCCTTTTTTGTGGTTCTTGTGAGGTGAATCCTAATGGATACTCTACCATATGCCAGTCTAGACGAGTTTAGGAGATTTATCATACATGAAACTTTTGCCTTTATTTATTAAAGTCAAAATGGTTTATTCAGCAACAACTACAAGAGTTTTACAAGAAACAGCAAGAGCAGTTACATCTTCAGCTTTTGCAGCAGCAGCAGCAGCAACAGCAGCAGCAGCAGCAGCAGCAACAACAACAACAGCAGCAGCAGCAGCAGCAGCAGCAACAGCAGCAGCAGCAGCAGCAGCAGCAACAACATCCTGGAAAGCAAGCTAAAGAGGTAGGATCTGGCCAGCTCCTCGATGGAGAACAGTGTGAGGCTAGGCAGGCGCCTTGAGGGGCGAGGGCGGGCTTAGATCTTCCTCTCACAAAGCTCTTGCCGTCAGAGATGCGTTAGTATACACTTTTACTGAGCTCAATAACAGTGACAGTAGAACTCCCCTGCCCTCCTTTTTGGTAGCATGGGACTTGAGAATTACAATCCAGTGCTGCTGTCGTCTAATGTTCACTAATGAATCACAGTGTACAAAGAGCAAGCTGTGTGGTGCACAAAGTACTGATTCTCTTGTATTCACTGAGAACCTAAGTTGGTGAGGGAACCTTGTTTTTTCTCTTGGTGGTGCAGCTCAGAGAACAGGCATGCAAATTTCGCCTATTGTTGGGGGTGGGGGGATGAGGGGAGAAACTGGTTGAGCACAGATTTCAAAGTCACAGGCCCCTGATTAATGAACTGCTACTGTAGGTTTGGAGGGGCGAGTAGAAAGTTACAGTTTGATATGCTCATAAATCAAACTGACAAGCTGGCTTCTCAGGCCTAGCTTGCACTTGTCAGCAAACTGCATCAAATATAAACATAATACAAACAAAACATGTTGAAGTAGTTAAATTGATCAGCAGGTATCAGAGCCGTTGTCTTCAAGCTGCCCATTATGCAAACGTACAGGAAACAGTTCTGACCTCCTGAGGCTTTGTTTCTGTTTGGATTTGTGAATAGAATTTCAGACAGCCATCAACTACAGAATAGAAATTGCTCCCTTATTTCTCCGGAGGCTTTGGGCAATCCACATGACTTGCTCCATTATGCAGTCTGTTTTCCAGTGAGCGCATCAGAAGTTTCTCTTTTCCCCAAACTAAAAAGGAAAGGTCCTCCACGGCCGCTTGTCTTTCTCTGAAGTGTGACCGCCTTCTCATACCCTCCCGAGTGCAAAGAACTCGGGTTTGTCTTGTAATGCCTCACAAAATTGGAAGTTTTACTTTTCGTTAAAATAAGGGCACTTTTTTTTTTGCCTTGAACATAATTCTGCCTTTAATGTATTCCAACAAGAGAGGAGAGGAAGAGAGAGAGCTGAGAGGCCTGTCCTATCAAGGCTACATCCCAGCTGACTGATAGATCACCAGAGACCACGTTCATGGACCTCCGCAGATCAAACTTATTCAGTTGGAAAAAATAGAGTGTTGTTGAAGTTGACTGTTTCCATAAAGTGTTATTCTTTTAGTCCAAATAAATTTATTATCATCTGCAATAAGCTGATTCTTTAAAAATTCTGAACCTTTGTTACATGCATTCCCTAGACTTTGTTCCATACTCTTTTCATGCAAGTTCCGTGGTTCTCTGCTGCTGTGTGATATTTGAATGAAAGTCAACTGCAAATCCAGAACTTGCTCACTTTCTGCCCTTGAACTTTGACCAGGGGATGACCATTCAGAAACTCCCCAGGGCAATAAAAGGCGTGTGCGTTTCTCTGCATGAGAGCTGCGTGTACAGACCGTGTTCTCTGCTGTTTACTGGGTTGGGTTTTCTGATACCAGCAGCAGCAGCAGCAGCAGTTGGCAGCCCAGCAGCTTGTCTTCCAGCAGCAGCTTCTCCAGATGCAACAACTCCAGCAGCAGCAGCATCTGCTCAGCCTGCAGCGTCAGGGACTCATCTCCATTCCCCCTGGCCAGGCGGCCCTTCCTGTCCAATCGCTGCCTCAAGGTACACACAAAACGTGCTGCACACTTCATTTCTCATCTTGCGCTGTCTGCCGTGTCCTGGCCTGTGTTATACCTTGAGAAATTTTTTTTTGATGACCTTCTAGTTTACTATTAAAACATGATTGTTAACATGTTAACGTGAACCATTTTCTTGAGACTCAGAAATTTTACTACACGTTGCTTTCAAGTGGGTAGTAAAACTGCTTTCAAGTGTTTTGTTAGATATTAAATGTATATTTATTAGTCTTATGGCAGAAAATAATTTATAAAGGAAACACAATTCAAGCAGTATTGAGTATACACTGAAGATCTGCAGGGAATTGTATTAGTGGGAAGGCTAACAACACTCCATTTAACATAAGTGAGCTGATATGCGTTTGGGTGAACAGGTAAGAAAAAGAAGTTTCTCATCTTCACACTGAAAACCCCACATGTAAAAGAGAGGCTTCGTGTATTTCTACAGAGCATATTCCAAGTTATGCTTTATGGGACACCATCATACATTGTGGGACCATATTGATCCTATTTTCTCTAAAATAATATTACCTATGCGTGTGTTGTGAATTATAGCTTTAAAAAGCTGTCAGCTGTATTCCTTTTTGTTTTTCTGATAAGAAAACTGGATTTACTTTGGTAATACAATAATACTATTGTATATATTCATCATTTGACTCTTAACTTTTGGGAAATGGAAAGAGATCTAAGTGAAAAAAGAAAAATAATGGTAAATAAAATGACTCGTATGCTAAAATTCTCGATTCAGATAAAAGTCACATATCATTCAACTTCATAAAAACATATTCTATTTGCACTTGGATTTTGTTAGAACAAACTGTAATCCAAATGAACTTGAATCCAAGTTTATATTTTTGTGAAGTGTGATGATTAGAAACTTCTTTTTCTTACCTGTTGTTCACTCAAACGCGTTATCAGCTCACTTATGTTAAATGGAGTGTTGTTAGCCTTCCCACTAACATTGTGGTAGTATTGTAGTAGTATTTGCTGTGCATTTTGCTAACTCTATAGGACACATTGAAGAAAATCAAGAACAATGAAATATGCAAAAATTAAAATTAGGCAAATAAGAGGAAGTCTTTAAAATGTGGTAATAATCATTGTTTTGGGGCACATGAAATTAAAAATATCGTGGTAAATGTTTTCTCTTTATTTATCAAATTACTGACTCCCTGGCATATTTTTCCCAGAATCCTCTCTTTCACTTGACTTCAGATTCTGACCCCCCTGATTGAGTCACTCCTAGGAAATCAAAAACGATAAAGTTTAAACAGTGAAAGAAAAACAAGGCAATAAACCCACTTTTCTGAGTCGTTCCAGAGAGAATTGGAATAAACTGTAGGGTTACCAAAGCCATGAATGTCTATTTACAAATTATTGTTCTTTGGAAAAATAAATACAATTTGAGGACAAATGAAGACGTAAGGTAAAAAAAAAAGAGAATTTATAAATTAATTCACTGTAAACATGGGTTTCTTTGGTAGAAACTACACTAAAACAAAAGCAATAAGTTTACTTCATTGATTTTTTTCAGTAAAATTTAAATAAAATCTATATTCACGATCTAACTATATGAGAATCTCCTAAATAAAGAAGCATGATCCACCATGATGTTATTTGAGTAAAACCATTCAAACAGACCTTTCAAGAAAGTTTAAAACAGATGTTCATGGAAACAAAATGTAACTTATTTGAAATATATTTTTTAAACTGTATGCTTCCAAAACAAGCATATAAACATCTTGCCCAACCAACAAGGAAATTTATTATAATATAATCATTTTAATGGTTTTCAAATGAAAATTTTCTCTTATTTCTGAACTTTCTTTTGATGGAATTATCTTTTTTTCCTTTTCTTCTATTTTTACTCTCTGTAAACCATGTGAAATGCACAGGATGGAGAACACTGAAGAAAAAGGAAGTAAATCTGAAAACATATCTGGGTTTGAGCAGAAAATTCATATTTTAAACAAAAAAGATGAAAGTCGTCATTGTGCTTTTCATTGTTTAGATGAGTAAGTGTGAAAAGTGCCATTGTGGAGACCCATCATCCAAACACAGGCAATATGCCAGATAAACCAGCCACAGAAAGGGAACATAACCTCTTAATACTATCCCAGAATCCCAAGATTAGAGTGGGAAAAAGTAAAGAAGCAATTGTTGGATAAGTAAGCCCTGAATCATTTCTGCCTTAGTGGTTATTTCAGATAAAAATATTTTAAATATTTTTATTTTTATTTTCTTAGTTCACTTTGCACTAGGTTTTTGGTTGGTTGATTGATTAGCCGTGAATAATAGCCATATGAAAACCAAGTAGGATTAATACACAATGATGATGTTTTCATTGTCTTTAAAAATATGCCATATTTGGAGTATTTATCCCCATGATTTAACACAACTTGGGCTACTTTTAAAGTTACAGTCTCTTTCGACTATATAAAAAGTAGGTAGGGCCGGCCCCGCGGCTTAGCGGTTAAGTGCTCGCGGCTCCGCTACTGGCGGCCCAGGTTCGGATCCCAGGCGCTCACCAACACACCGCTTCTCTGGCCATGCTGAGGCCGCATCCCACATACAGCAACTAGAAGGATGTGCAACTAGGACATAAACTATCTACTGGGGCTTTGGGGAAAAAAGGGGAGGAGGATTGGCAATAGATGTTAGCTGAGAGCCGGTCTTCCTCAGCAAAAAGAGGAGGATTAGCATGGATGTTAGCTCAGGGCTGATCTCCCTCACCAAAAAAAAAAAAGTATGTATATAAGAATCAGATGTAACAAAATTATAATTACTTTGATAAGAGTAGGAGATTTACAAACATTTTTCTCTATTTTGCAAAATGATGTATTTTATCATTTTAAAGTAAATTATTTTAAATATTAAGCATTTAGAGCCATCATTAATATTTCTTTAATATTGAATTTTAATGTAAAATAGGCAATTAAATTACTGCCTCTATATGTAATTTACCACATAACATATATAGTATGTATATAGAGTGATTGTAGGTATACAAAAGTCAAATAAAAAAGGATGGATTTGTAAATCAATCTCGAATAAAATACTGATTATCAAGCTATTTAATACATAAATAGTATAGTTTGTGTATCAACTAGTAATTAAACTTAGTGACACATTTTCATGTCCCAGTACCATTGTCTACCCGTTAGAAAATAGGAAACTGTTTTGCCTGCACTTTGAACTTTGATGTGCTTTTGACATAAGGTAGAAGTCAGTGTATCCCAATACACAGTATATTCACACATTTACTATGACTACAAAGACTAAAATATACGTGGTAAAAGTTTTATTTCATTCCAACTTTTTACATATTTTTGAATTTATAAAAGTTATATAAAACATATTTCCACTACCAATCTGAAAGACCAAATAGGGAATGTTAGATATCCAGCCAGCACTATTTTGAACTAACACCTTGTAGAACTAGATGAGCTTGGAATCAGAGACCTGCTGAATAATAAAGAAAATGAAATCTTTTGAAATAAAATATAGTAATGTCCTTTAAGCTGAATTAGAAATTTGCTGAAGTTTGTCTTTGGCCTCAGTATTCCGCCAAAATCAGTTATTTGGCTTTGACTTCATTCTCTGCTTGTGGAACTCTAAAAAGCCAAATGCCTCCTTCAGCACTTCTTCTGGCATCCTTGATCCTATGCTTTAACAGTGATCTTGTGCTTGCATAGGTCACCATTGCATCTAATCAGAATAACAGCACCAGCATTATGAACAATGCATGTCATGCGGAATTATTGTTACCTTCTTAGTATTCTCTTTCGAATACCAGTAAGTCTTCGATTTGTAACTTGGAGGGAAAATCTCCTTTGGTGTTGAAACTCCATCAGTGAGTTGAAGTTTAAATGTGCATTTATAATTGCAGGAACAAAACTTTGAAAAGTTACCTGTGAGTGCTATTTATTTTACGTATATAAAAAGTAACTTATAAATAATTAAATACATAGAGAAATATTAATAATATGTTGAGTTAGTTTTTGAGAAAATGTCAATAAGATAGAAAGGTGGAGATTAAATTATATCATAATTCTAATTGTTGTAGAATTAGTGTACTAGCACGCATACATTAAAATGGATTTAATTCCATTTAGGCCGTAAGTCTTTAAAAAAAGTTTTATTTGCCAATTCTTTTATCTTGAGAGAAGCCTCAAAAGCAGAATGTCAACTTTACCACATTAAAATTTCATAATGAGGAAAACTGAGAAATTATTGTTTTTGTAGCAGAATATCAAATTTTAAAAATGCAGCCTGTAAAAATTTTAATAGTAAAATCATGGTAGGATATATATACGTATTTTTTACAGCAAATGTATTCCTGTATCCCTGAAGTTCCTTCTTTGGTGAAGATATTTGCCTTTGGTCTCAGTTTGACCCAATACTTATTTTTCCTCCCTTAATTCGGCATTTGGACAAAATGCGTATTCAGTGCATCTCTCATTAAACATACATTTTAAAGGTGGGCGTTGTACCCTACAGGTTATAGTAGGCCCCTAGTCCATATAAATCAAGAATATGTTAAGTTTGGCAAATCATAAATGAACACACAGATTTCTGAAGGTTAGCCCAGAAACTGGAATAATGGTTGCCTCTGGAGAGAAGAACTAAGAACCAGAGGTCAGGGCTGGTAGGGAAATCTAGTTTTGCAATGTATACCCTTCTCTGTGATTTTAATTATGTTGGCCACGTGTGTAGACTAGTTTTTTCAAAATGTAAAATTTAAGATGAAAAGTGAAAATTACATAATATTTCAGTAATTCAAATTATTGAATATCAAATTGGTTCAACCAAATATATGAATGATACAAACACTTCTACCAAAATGCACTTCTATTACTTTTAACTGTAAGTAATCCTAGAAAATAAGCAGAGTGCTCCTAAATAAGTTAATTAAAAATTTGCAGTAGACTTACTTTGCATCATAATGTATAAAATTTATATAATATTAAAAATGAATTACTGGAC